CATGATCAAAAAAAAGATTTAATTAGAAGTCATTATGATGAAAATAATTCCCAAGATCAAGATCAAACACATTCTGAAGCCGAACTTTCTTCTAATCATAATTATGACCTTAGAAATCTTAGAAGTAGTTATAAAGAATTGAAAAGAAGACATAATATAACGTCAAATGCGACAAATCGTCAGATGATGATTAAACCTTTTAGTGGATCAATTGTAGGTGATATAAAACATAAATGGAGAGATGAAGGTATGTTTATTTTTTCTTTTTTTTTACATATAAGATATTTTAAATTTAATGTTTTATATTAAGTCATCAATCATATATTTGTTTTTTTTTTGTTTTTTTAACTGAGCTCCATCGCTATCTATCAATTATTTGTTTTTTATCAAGTGTTTTGTTTTTGTTTGTTTTTTTAAAATAAAGGTACATATAAAATCTAAGTTTGTTTTAGAAAAGTTTTGTATAGAAAAGTTTCCATTTCTTGAGTCAGTCTATTTTAATTCTTATCATAAATGACTGTTTTACGGTTGAGTTTTACCATTGACTTACCAGTAAATTATAAAGTAATAAATTTATCAATTTATTAGTAATGTTAATAAATTAGAGCTCTTTTGTTATCTATCATATGTATGTTTTTTTTTTTCAAACTGATGTTCATCCTTATCTATCATATATTTGTATTTTATCATACATAAGTGTGTTTTTTTTTAAAAGGTACGATCTAAAATCTAATGTAAATAACTTTCAAATTCAACATTAGCATATAGGGCTTGTATGGTTTTTTGTATTTTGTTACCAGAACAAGATTTAGGTTGATTATTGTTCTGGTTTAAACCATACAGACTCTGTATGGTTCAAAAATAAAGTAATTTTTACTATACTAGTTATGGGTGAATTCATTATATTTCAACAAATTTAAAGAAAACTTTGTGGGAGGTCTTCTCTGATTTTCCTGATTTTTACATTTTGTGTGCATTATGTAGAGATTAAATTTGAAATTTCAGACTATATAACGGTTTAAAAATTATAACCTTATAAACATGATGCAGTGGCCCCCCTTGATTTACAAATGTTTAAAATAAACTACTTTAGAGCCTTGTAACTTTTTTCTAGAACTATATTCCAGATAGTTCTCTCTTAAAAAGTGTTTTTTTAAACTTGTATCATATTAAAGGTTGTTCACTAACTATGTCATGCAATTTTTGACCATTTTAGACCCCCTTCCCTCCTCGTTACAACAATGTAACTCTTTAGTAACAAATTCTATATGAGTTGTCACAAAACCACTAACCCTTTACCCCCCCTCCCCCTCAGAGCATGCTGAAAATTATGTATGACCTTTTAGAGAAAAAATATAATCTCATTAACTTTGGAAAAAATCTGAAAATTGCTAAAATATGCCAAAATAAAGTAGTTTTTTTCCATTCATCCACAAGTCTTTACAGGTAAGTTTTCTGATTAGCTACTACTCTCTGCATTAAATTAGCAAAATATAGGCAGCTTGTTGCAGTTTAGAACTCAAATATATATAAAAGTATATTGCTCATGCTTTCAGTCATTTTGAGGTGCTTGTAAACTTTTCTAACACTTTGCTTTGATCTAAGATTAACAGCATATAAGAAGGTCTTCCAAAAATTATGTCACGCAGTTTTTGACATTTTTTGACACCCCAATAGTTTCGTGTAAAATTGTGTAAAATCGTGTAAAATATAGCAATAAAAGAGAAGTAGGTTATAATAATAAACAGTAACAACATTATAAATAATATAGTAATATAAGTATCGGTAATAATTATATTAGACAATAGTAATAAAAACTCCAGTTATTGGTAATAATAATCAAAATAACAACAATATAAACGATAAAAATAATAATATAACAATAATAAAAATAGCAATATTTATAATAGTGAGAGTTAGGAATAAAATAGTGATATTAATTTGAGAAAAAGTTAAGAAAAGCAAGTATTAATAATAATAAATCAGCATGGAAATGAGAAAAGAATTCTTTAAAAAGATCAAGTATTAGTAGTTATAAACCAGCATTGAAGCGAATAAAGTTAAGATGGATAGTAGATAGTTAGCAGTAGAGTAGCATAGAAATTAGGAAGAATACTTGTTTAATAAAAAACTGTTTTTGAATTTGGAAAATCTAGAGAGATTTCAATTGTGAGGGGGTATCTAAAAATGAAAACATAAACTTGTGAATTCACACCAAAATTGCCAGCATTTTCAAATAACCCACAACTTTCAATTATAAATAAAAACCAGTGCCCCTCTAAACTGTCTACTGGCCCATGTGAGGGGTGCAACAAATCATAAGTAGATAAGGGTGCAAAAAAAGGGGGCAGTAACTAATTATAGATTTTCATTATGGTTAAAATGAAAGTCTCTAAATCAATTTAGATATTAAGATACTTAGTATCTCAGTATCTAAATTATTTTAAAGTATTATTTCTTTAAATTCTACTTTATTATAGGTGATCACAGGTCGTAATAGGTCCCAGACATTAGTGCTACTCCCACCTTTTATTGAAACCCCATTTAAAATGTTAGTTTAATTAACCTTTTTTAATTAAATTTACAAAGTTAATTTAATTAACAAATGTTAATTAAATTAACAAAGATTGGTTGCCCCTTGAAATGCCCTTTTAAGGCCATAACATTGTATATTTGCTGAAAAACCTGGCAAACCAGTCTATGAACACATCATCAGAATCTGTTGTAAAACACCATCAAAACCCTGTTCTAAACAAAAAGTGTTTGCAATAGGTATTAGTGCTAATTATTGTTACAAAAACTTATTTACATGAAGACATTAGTTTTTAATGTTGCATTAGTTGTTGTTATAGAAGACTTCTATGGAAAGTTGAAAAGTACTTTGTATAGGAACTATTAGATTGCTTAATCAGATCAGGGATCAGGAAATTTATATGTCCATATATTGTAGGTTTTGTGGGCGGGTTTAATCAAGTTTAATTAATCAAAAATAGTTGTAAACTATTTTATTATCAATTGCTCATAAAATCATGGTTTGTATAAAAGTTTGCATTTTACCTGTTTGCAGTTTATCTTATACTATTTACATGCCATTACACATTTATTTCTGATGATGCACCAGTTATAAATTTTATAAAAATATTTTATGATTTCCACATGTATTTGAAAAAAATATAGTTTTGCCTTTTTCAAAAAAATTTTAAGATGTTCTGTACCATAAGATTGTTTATATTTTATGTGTTTTTCAATGCTGAGCATTATAGGCAAGGAAACATAGGTCTTTTTGGAGTTCCAGACCCATTTTTAGTCCATGGTAATATAAGGAACAGATTTAAGGCTGTATTTTATACTACTATAGGCATTTGTATTAAATTAAGTCATTATCTTAGCAACTGAATGATATGGAGGAATTTAAAATACAATTAATACAATTTACAGTAATTTTGTAAATCTTTTTGTTAAGTACGTTATATTATTTTATATAATTTTTTATTGTATTTGTTTAATTTTAATTTCACATTTCTTATAAAATTATATTTTATTTGTTAGACAAAGAAGAAGAAGGAAAAAAAGTAAAAAGTGATGATGAAGAAAAAAGCACACACAGTGAATATTTTTTTTCTTTCTGAATTATATTTATATAAATGTGTGAGTGTATATATATGTATGTGGGCGAATAAAAAAAAGCAGTTGCTTTTACTTAGTAATTGGTCAGCTTTACGTGAATAAAAATTTCAGCAATTTTGCTTAAGTTTTTATTCCCGTAAAGCTGAGCAATTACTAAGTAAATTGCTTAACTTTACGTGAATAAAAATTTGTGCAAAACTTCTGAAGTTTTCACATAAAACAGACCAATTACTGAGTAAAAGCAATTGCTTTTTTTTATTCACCTGGCCTATCAATGTATTTTATTTAAATTTGTTTAACATATATTGTATTACTATATTTTATATCATAGGTGTGTGAGGGTTTTGATGGTAGTTATATAGTAGTTATGAGTTGTAGTAGCTATATAACAGGTTTTGTAATAGATATATAACAGGTTATGTTGTAACATGTTGTATAAAAGCTATGTAGTGGGCGGGTACCCCGCAAGCTATGCAGTACCTATATATTGGGCTATTTAAAAGCGGGCGATGTAGTTATATCCTAAAATAAATGAAATGCACATAGACAGACAACCTATAATACATAACTATATAATAGTATATTTAAAATATATTTAATATTTAATATTGGTAAGCATGTTGCAGTGTTTTTTTTCATAGCTACTACATATATAGTTGCTATAAAATATTTACTGGCATGTATATATGTGTGTGTGTGTGTGTGTGTGTGTATATATATATATTTATATATATATATATATATATATATATATATATATATATATATGCATATATATATATATATATATATATATATATATATATATATATATATATATATATATATATATATATATATATATATATATATATATATATGTATATATATGTATATATATATATACATATATATGTATATATATATATATATATATATATATATATATATATACAAAATTGAATGAGATTTAGGGGGGCCACTTCAAATCTGAAACTTCCGACAAGACCCTAACAGAAGAAAAAAAAGTTTTTCAAATGTATGTCATGTTGGGTCTCAAAAAAAGCGAAATTTTATAAAAAAATTAGATTTAGATTTAGATTTTAAAACTAGTTGTATTTGTTTACATAAGGTTTGCACATTCTTTCTTCCAATAACTTAGACTAAGTCAAGAAATACTTCTTCAATAGTATGAGAATCAGAATCGGCATATCTAATGAAAATAGAAAAGACAGTCCTATCTGCCATGTCGCTTGTCTCATCAGCAAGATATCACTAAAACATGACTTTATTGTTCTTGCCAAAATAATTTTTTTGCAAACCTCATTGTCTAATTTATTATTTATCACTTATTATTTTGACAAACTGATCAATACTAGTTGATGATGTGTATGTCGTTCATTTGCTAACAATTTTAAAGTGGGAATCTATCTCCTTATTGCCAAGATCTCGAATAAATTCAATGATATCACTAAAGTTTTCCTGGACTGCCCAGTTCTTTTTAATTACAAAGTAAGCAGTTTTAAAAACTTTTTTATGACGTTACAGTTGCGCTGTTTATCTGCAATTCTGTATAGCGAGCTGCCATCAACCATCTGATTGTATACTTTGATTTGAAGTTTTTTTTTTGACCTGTTGACGTTTTTCGGCAGAATCCTGGTGTCTATTTGAATTTTGATGTGCTGTAAATGTCCTTTGTGGATGTTCAAAAAGCTTCGTGCCTTTAGTTTTCAGCACTTCTCCAATATCCACATATTCTTTACAAATACTACATGATCTTTTTACAAATACTACTTGATCTTTTGCAGAATAAATAGCAAATGGAAATATTGTTTCTTATTTCCCATCATGTACATATGTCCATCTAGTAAATATTTGTTGATATTAGTGATAACGCTTTTATTTGATTCATTCCCAATAATAATTTTGCTTTCTTTTGTTCTTATTTTAGGAATCAATTGCTGTGTTCTACCTCATCTTAAACTTGTTCTGTGTCTTTTTTTGTAGTTTGGTTAACAGCAAATGCTTAAAAAATTGACTTTTGTTCAGAATTTGCATTTTTATTTTTACTGTGTAAAGATCTGTATGTGGACAAATTTTTGTTGTGGCTTCTACAAGAAGTCTTTGGTCCACCCATATAAAAGTCAATAACTTTTTTTCTTCTTCTCTTACTTATTAAATCAAGTTTTTTGGCGTGATTATGTTATTATGTTTTAAAAAAAAAAAATTTTATTTATTTTATAATTTAAAACCGTTTATTTACATTTTTACTGCAATTTTACGTTTTATTTAAAATGAGAATGTTTAAAGCTTTAAAGAGTTTAATCAATAATTAATAATATATAATAGTTATGAAAATGTAAGTGGAGGAGAAACTCATTTTAAGTACATTTTGAAATAAGTTTTTATAAAAGGAATTATAAAAATATAAAATGCTAAACGTTTCTTATTTTAATCCAATCAAAACGTGTATTTTACATTTTAATCCGATAGTAACATATTCCATATCTCATCTGCTCATCTGCAGTTTGAATTAAGCATTCTGATTGACTTAAAATACATTTATAATCTGTTTTAAAAAATGTTTGCAAATGTTGCTTTTTCTAAACAACATTAAAAACAATTTCGTAATTATGACAAAAATTTTAATATTACAAAATAGCAACACAATAAATAATAAAGAATTTTATTATTTAATTTTTTTATCGCATACTTGATGTTTATACGAAATTGTTTTAAATTGAGTTTGTGCAGAAATTTTGAGGCCCATACCGGTATACCGGTATCAAAATTGGCCTGGATACATTGCTGCTATAGCTATAGTTCCACTTACAAGTTTATGAAAAAACATTTGCTCATGGAGACAAAAAATTAAAAAGAGTGTTTTTATGTACCCAATAATTTTTTTTCTCTGTAAGTATACTTTTTTTTGTAAAAAAAGGTCACCATAAGCAACTTTTATGAAAAGTAAAAAGTATTAACTGACTTAATCACCTAAATTGACTAAGAGTTTGGGTTAGGGAAGGTTTAAGGTTAGGGTTATATTTTTATTTAAAACTTCTATAAATAAATAACTGTTTTTTGTAAAAAATTGAATGAAAATATGAAGCATAATACAGACATATATACAGGCCTTGGCATGAAGCGGAAGCGATTGCTCCCATCACGTGAAACACGCTCATTAATGGGATATTTATAAATTGGGGGCGCAATAAAAAACGCTTGCTAATTTAGTCACGAGAGTAAAAAAATCTATGAGAGGGATAAAACTAGTAATGGTTTAAACTTGATTTTATATTAAATTTTTTTTATAAAAAGTTTTTGTTAAAGATTCTTGTTTAATTAAACAAAAAAGTTCGCTTATTGCTAAAAATAAAATATCCAAAAACAAAATATCTTTTCACATATCTTTAATTGCATTTTTTCGACTGAGGTAAAATATTAAAATAATACTTCAATTAAAAAACTCATTTTTTCTTGTTAACTTACGTCATTCTGTTGAGCACTAATATCTACAAACAATGAATGGTGGTTTATGAATGAGAGTTCTTTATATAAAATGTTAAAAGCAAAAATTTAACGAAATTAAAATTTTATTTATTTATATAAGTTTATTAGCAATATTAAATTGTGCAATAAATACAAATTAATATTGAGAAACGTTAATTTAATTTTGTACTAGCATTTACTAAAAAATCATATGTATAATAATAAAAGTTTTTATTTAATTTCGAAAAAAAATATTAAACCCAAAAATACTAAAACTTTTAATTGTTCTTTGAGTTAATTGCCCAATGTTGATAGAAAAGAATTTTAACAAATCTTTTTAGAATTTTATTAGTTATTATTTTAAATAAAATGTTTTCTGTCAAAATTTAACTAATTTTAAAAAGCTTTTGTTATTAAAATTATAACTTATATTATTTATAACTTAATTAAAATTATAAATTTATTTCATAAAAAAAAAAAGTTCAGGTTTGTGAAAACATTTGCTAAAAAAGTTATAAAAGTTCTATTAGCGATAGCAACAAAAAAACATTAAATACGTTTTAACAAAAAGAAATCTTTATTTCATTGTTTTAATGTTTTAATGATGCAAAAACATTATGAATTTATATTTTAATTAAACGAATGAAACAATGAAAAAAATGAAAGCTAATGAACTTCTTTTAAATAACTTCAATGTAATAATAAAAAAATTGACTGTAGTATTAACTTAAAGATGAAGACTATAACAAAGAAAAAGCATGAAAGATAAGTTTATTTTTTAAAACAAGATCATTAAGAACTAGGTGGGAAAAAAAACACAATTAGATGCGATCAAATAATAAGTATTTAGGAAGTTGAAAGAATTTTACATTTTGTCAGGCAGTACGCTGCTAAATAATAATTTTAAAATATTTATAAAAAAATATTTGAGTTTTATGGGCGCAAAACATTGCACTGGACAATTTTCCTCATGCCAAGGCCTGATAATATATAATAATTAAATAAAAGTAATAAAATTATATCTAATTTTATACTATTTTTATAGTAAAATATTAAATTTAAATATGTATAAATATAGACAAAAAATAAAAAACAAAGTATTTTTTATAATAATAAAAAAATTCTCCATTAGTATACATCTAATGATACATATATACATACATACAAGTATGTGGTTGGAAAGAATGAGGTTTTGTTTTGAAAATTAGTTGCTTCTTTGGATTAGAGTTGAAGAACATTTCTATAAGTTTTAAAAGGTTTTTCAAGAATATGTCTTTTAATAATATTTTATGTGTTTTTTATTAAAGTTAAGATTGTTGGTGTAATCCAAGGTTCAAGCTTATAAGTTAAGGTCAGTTTTTACTTACAGAGAATGTAAATATAAATCGACCTTATATTATCTAAAATCTCAATAAAAAAACTAATATATTTTTAAATACATACTTTTATTGACCATATTAGGGATCTTACTTCAAAAGCTAAGGAACCCAAATATCTTTAAAACATGATGTGATGGAAGTAAAAGGGTTGTTTATTTGAAATCAAAATGAGAAACACTATACTTAAATATTATGTGTTATTTACTCAACAACAGAAAAAAACTTTTGTTGATTTGTGTAATTTTCCTTTCCATTCTGCCAAAAATTTCCTGAAAGTAAAAATCCGCCTTTTATCTTCAATTACTGATTTTTTTCAAAAGAGCATGCTTTTTTAAAATGAACTAAAATGAGTGAAAATGTCTTATTATGACTTATAAGTAACATGAGATCATTGAAAACCTTGATCACATTATGTTTATATTCAAGTAATTATTTCTAAATTTTTTTAAATTTTGACGAAAAATATTATCAGATTTATTAGAAATTTAGGCAAATGTTCTGATAGTGAAGTAATGAAGTTACCAGGAAAAAAACAGGGAAATTTGTTTACAATTGTATTTAGTTCAGATATAGAATTATTTAAGTTAAATTTTATAAAATCTTTATTAGTATATATCTATATTTTATAAGATCTACATTATTCAAAGTATTATTAATTAGTGATAGATATAGTTAAGCAGCCCTCAGAATTTAGGTTTAACCCTATTAGCAATATTCTTGTCCATTCGATTTGTTGATGGCACACCACTAAGTATATTAAATCCGTGAGGCACACCACTAAGTATATTAAATTACAATAAAAAATATAAATTTTACATAAGTGTTTACTAAGCGTTTTAAAGATATTTTCAATATTTTAATCATTTAACAGAAACTGCTTAATAATAGCAATTCTCATTTTTAGTTAGGTCAGCAGTTAGGTCGGCCTAACTGCCGAAGTTCTTAAGTTCCTAAACAATTTAAGATCAGCATTTGGCAATGCCGACCTAACTGCCGACCTTAAATTGTTTAAAGTCGGCAAAAAATTGCTAACATGGTTTCTATGGTAAGACCTTTGTATCAAATTTTTTTTGCCAACCTGATGCCAAGCTCTAAAAGATTGAGGTCGGCAACTTATTGCCAACCTCATTTTTACTAATTCCGAGGGTTGATTAAGTAAAAAGGCCTTTAAAAGAAATATGAAGTATGTTCATAACTACAAGATTTATTGGGGTAGCTGGTGGTAAATAAATTTTTAATTTAATTGCCATCAATCTATAATGCTGAATTTATAATTTATCAGAGATTAAAATGAATTTAGTTCATCAAAATGTTTAACTTGTCAAGCAAAGTTCAAATGTAAAAGAAAAAAATCTAACTTTTATTGTTGTCTCAAAAATTTTTCATCTCTATATATTTACAACTGATTGGGTTATAAATTAGGTGCTAATCATCATTATCAAACTGGTATAAATTAAGTGTTAATCGTCATTGTTATCAAACTGGTAAATAAGAAAGTACTTCAGTTAATTGAAAAAGTGTGAATCTTGACAATATAACAAAATTGCCTAAAAATTAAAAATGATTATAAATATTCCTATAGTAAAAACCTTAAACTTATCTTTTAAGTCAAATGATTAAAAAAAAAACTATTAAAACTTCTTTTGGTCTTTAAAACAATTTTTAACTTGACATTTTATTGGAAAAATTATATTTTATATATTTTTATATTATATATTTTGCTTATTAATATTATATTAATTAATATTAGTATTAGTATTATTATGTTAAAAAAAACTTATTTTGTATTTTTATTATGTTTGTTTATAGTTTTGTTTGTTTATTTTGTATTGTTTTAAAATTATGTAATAATCAAATTATAATTTATTATAATAATTGAATCATAAAATAATAATAACTTTTTTTGAAATGACAAGAAATAAATAAATTTGATGATGTGTTGTAAGAAAAGTAAGTTATTGTAAGTAAAAAGAAAAATTATAAAAATGGAATCTTAAATGAACATTTTTATTTTAAACCTCTTCAACAACGAGTTGAACTAAAAAAGCTATTTGTAAAGACTGCAAAGCTGAATTTTCTTATCATCAAAGTATGAGCCTCCGCCAAGACACACTATGGCAAGAAAAATACATGAGTTGTATGAAAAAGAGAGAACTATAATAGCAACAGCGTTACAATGCGCACTAACTGTTGTCCTTACCTGAGACTACTGGACATCGCTGGGTAACCGTAATTACCTCAGAGTTACTGTGCATTATATTGATGAACAATGGAAACTGCATTTACATGCTCTGGCAGTAATGAAGGTACAAGAAAGATATTTTGCTAAAACATGTGCAGAACATTTTGCTAAAACATGTGCAGAACATTTCAAATAAAGTGACAAGAGCTTCTTATCAAGCTTCTGCCCTAGGAGGACACAGGCACTAGTTCAAAACACATTGCTCAGATGCTTACAGCTATGCCCCAGTCTTCACTAACTTCAAACACAGCAGTAGCCTTAGCCTCACCTGTGCCGGATGGAAGCTTGGAAACTATGAGGAGCTGAGAAACTTTCTTGCCTGAAACTAATACTGGCAGGCTGTTGATACTCCAGAACTGCTGTGAGTTCTGGAGTAGTAACAGTTTTCCCCCTCTTTCTTTTTGTATCTGGAATATGATTCCTCTAACATCCACCTCACTTGTTCCCAGTTCCAACTTGTCACAAACTTCATCTGAGTTGATGATCAGATGAAATAAGTTCCAGAAATAGATGAAATAAGTTCAGCTGTAGAAGCTATTGTTTCATTTGATCTGCTTGCTGTTGCCTGGCAAACATTTGTCCCTCTTTTTCTGAAACCCTTTCCTCCTTAGCAACAAGCACTTCATCTACTCCAGCCATCAGCCCCTTTCTTCCTTTTTTGCTGGGCTAGCAAGAAACCCTTGTCTTCTTGCAATACTTATGTTATAGTCAGAGCATTGGTATTAGTGACATCAAAAAGATCTTTCAACCTGAAGACAAAAAGCAATTCTCTTGTAATTTGAGTTTGTGATATTTGCACCTTTTTTCTTCTTTAGAAGATACCGTTCTTCAAATGTCTGTAGAAATTTCTTTTGGCAGTTTTGATGATCTCTCATTGGGATTCTCACTCTTTGACAAAGTTTTGCTATTTCTCTGATGGTAGCTGCCAATGATTGTCTGATGGTGTCCTTCAGTTTAAGATGACGGCAACTTGCTGCCTGTTAATTCAGTTACAGAGTCAATTTACAAATTTATGGAAGTTTTGCTTTGTCAGCAAAACAATGGTATGAATGGAATCTGGATGATTGGCTAGATATGAACCTCAATGATTGAATGTGTATGCATAGTGATTGAACAATAATGTCAATTTACTTGGTTGTTAAAAATGTGTTCCAAATTATCATGAGAATATATCTAGTATTTAGTATCCCTAAATATTGTTCAATTTTAGGGATAATTGTTGTTATTTTGTCTGAGAGTATGTATACAATATATATATATATATATATATATATATATATATATATATATATATATATATATATATATATATATATATATATATATATATATATATATATATATACATGTACATATATATACATATATATACATACTCATGCTTGGTTGTCTTACCATTAATGGTAATTTTTATCATTAATTGTAAACTTTATGTTTTTAAAAAAGTAATAGTAATTTAGAATACTGGAAAAAGTTTGACAACTTTAGAAATGTATTTTTTTTTTAATTGATAATCTGCCCAAATCAAAATCCACAGTGATGTAGTAGCACTCTATGCATGTTCTACCTATTATTCAGTCAATGTATGTAAACAGTAATAAAATTAAAACAAAATGTTTTTATTCTTAATAAAAAAATAAAAAACATTCCGATTTGAGTTTGTGTGCTTTTTTAAAAAACAATAAAATTTAATTAATTAAGTTTAATGGTTTTTACATAAATTGTATTTAATTTTAAATTTTTGTGCATTTTAAATAAAATCTTTATTTATAATTAATGATTGG